TATTATGACATACTTTTTTAATTATTTACAACGTTTTTAGCATTAAAAAAGAGTCGTATTGAGAATGCTGATCTTTTGTGATAAGTGAAAGAATTTTTTTGGGCAATGAACACTTTAAGAAGTAAGATTTTTTAATTAAGGGCAATGATTTTGAATAAAACAAAAATAATATCTAAATTCAAGGAGTTACGGATAGAAATAGAGGATTCATTCCAAACTTTTTTCTATATCATTTTGTTAGATAAATATGGAGGTTGTCCGCACCGGCTGGTGTGAGCTGGGCGCGTTATGGGCTGAACCGGGCTGGCTGGGAGACTGTCCGCTCCGTTCGGTCGCGTCTGGTGTCTGCTGGGCTCACTGGGCCACACGCTGTGGTGATGAGCCGCGGAGCTTGGGCCAGCTGCAAGGGAAAAGGCAGCGGACTGACTTCAAGTGCGAGGGCTGAAGGCTGTGAGGGACGTGGGTCGCGCGGGCTGGATGCTGCCCGCGTGTTGGATCTTCTCGCAGATGGGCCGCACGCTACTGGGCCTCGTCCGATTGCGTCTAGGCTACGCGCACAACGGGTTGTTGGCGTCTTTTTTTCTGCTGAGCTATGCGACATCCGGGCCTCGTGGACTGCTGCGGTGGGCTGCTCCCTGGGCCACACCTGAACGCAGGTGCGCTGCGACCCCACCGGCTGCTGGTCAGCGCCTACACGCGGTTGCGGCTTGCCGGGGCTTGCCTGTCCGACCACCTTGGCCGATCTTCGTCGAAAAATGACCAGAGAGTCGCCGGTCAATTCCGATACATCCGTTGGACACGATTCTCGGATTATGTGAAGAACGGACAACCTCGCGAATTACAGAAACATTACGAGTTTATGATCGGAGAAGATGTCGGATTATATATGTATTGCTCGACTACCTCGAATCTTCTATTGTATGACCCGACATCTTCTCCGATCATCTCGGTTGGTGATGAAATTAGAGATATCTCTGCTGGGATTACTTGGAGAAGAAGAAGCGAACACAAGAGAAGAGAGAGGAGAGGGGCAGCGTGTATTAGCCGTGGGATCCCTCAAACTCGTGCATCTCAATCAGTCTCCTAATACGAAGAGATGTGATGTAAGGCTACAACAGGGACCCTAAGGAGGTATTGAATTGGGGGGCTTCTCCTATTAGGCTTGACTGTAGGCCAAGCCTACTAAGCCCAAATAGAAATAATACATTCATTCCACTAAAGATGTATTATTGAATAAACTCCCAGTTTAATTCCCAAATTATATTCGAGGCTCCAATAATAATTACTCGATTTATCTCCCTGTGTTTAAGATATAATGTCCATCAATTAATTTGATTACTGACAATCAAGAATCAATTAACTTCTTGAACCGAGACTAGTACCATTCATATCGTTATTATTATGTCGGAATAAATTCCACTGGCCAGATTTAACATAATAATACTTCATGAACTCATCTCGGGGACATCATCAAACTATCGCACACGGTGACCGTAAATATTCGAACAACAAATCGTACATGTAATAATATTACCCAAAACAGCAAGTATGTCGACTCAGTAAACTGAATCTCACTTGAGTGAATCAAAGTAATAGTTACTATATGTACATGCATGTTTATATCTTACGGGTTAAGTATATGCAGTAATTAATCGAAGCCTAGTTCGTTTACGACGATCAGTATAAAATGAACTTCCCCTATCTGTGATCCGTTTAATGCACACAGTGCACTAGTGTAACTAATCAATCGAGACCAACTGTATGGTTGACACTACAACCGATCACGATGGGTTGTTCATTTCCATCTAGGTTGTGAACCTAATATTCTTATTTCGCAAGTCACTGATAAAATGATCTTTTGTTCACCCGATAATGAACCATTTTATCTATGTACAAAACACAAGAACATAGACTTTTTTAATTAAACATGATTCTCATTCAAACAGGATTAGTGTAAGTAACATCTAAAGTCAAGCTTTTAGTATATACACCAACAGACACTTCAATGAGTTTGTGCTGCATGATAAAGAGAAGAGAGAGGAACATGTGGTCCCGGAGAAAAGAAGGCGACATGAGGAGCTAACAAAATACCACCCAAGCAAGGTGTAATCCAGATGATTGCCGGAGGTCCCACTGATGGGGACTTCCACAATGCAAGAAAGAGGTCTTATCAGGGTAAGGAGATTCCTGAGGTTCAGGTCCCACAGCCCAAGGTCACTCTGAGGTTTGGGTCAGATGATGTGCATGGTATCTTTGCCTGCACAAGGATGTCTTGGTCATTACGGTCGGGGTTGCAAGTTACGATGTGCAGAGGATGTTCATAGACACCGGCAACTCAGTTGACATCATTTTCCTGCAGTGTCTAAGGCAGATAGACCTAGAAGTAAAGATCAAGCCACTGAATACAACATTGTATGGATTTAATGGCAACAAGGTTACAATGGTATACGAGTTACACCTGCCCGTCGCAATGGGACAACCACTCTTCAGGAAAGTTAAGATGGTCCGCTTCCTAGTAGTGTACACCAACCCGATGTACAACATCATTTTTAGGTAGCCTGAACTTAATGCGTTTCGTGTTGCAGTATCAACCTATTGCATGGAGGTGAAGTTCCCGATTGGTGACCAGGTTGGTGAAGTAGTAGGAGACCACTGACAGGCTAGGTCGTGTTATCGGGTGATACTAAAGAGCGTAGAGGCGCAAGGAAGGAAGAGGAGTAAGGAGGTAGAACAACCCGAGAACTCAAGTAAGGAATGGAGGTCCGGGAAGCTCGAAATTTCATCCCAGCTCATGGAGATTGAGCTCTTATTTGGAGAGGTCGAGAGGTGACTAAGGTCAAAGGTCATCTCTCGGAGGACATTCGAGTCGCCCTCATGGTTTTATTTAGGGAGTATATGGACATCTTTGCCTTTTTAGCAGATGATGTAATATGGATAAATCCAGAAGTAGTCGAGCACATGCTAAAAATCGACCCTGCCATAAACTCAGTCTGAAGTAAAAAATGAGGCATTTTGGTGCAGATCTGAGACTGGTGATCGAAGGCAAGGTTGAAAAGCTTTTAAAGGCAGGTCACATAAGACCTATCCAGTTTTCGAATTGGTTGTCAGCTTTATGATGGGTTAGAAGGTCGAGGGTAAGTGACAAATGTGTTAGTATATGTGTCCTAGAGACAATCAATTTTCGGACAAATGTACTTGATCACATTCATATTATATTTGATGATATTCATGGTTTTGCATTAATTGATGAATTCTTTTGATTGTCTGTAATTTATTAATTAATGGCTCCCTTAATTTAATACTGTCATTAACAGAGTGAGATGTTAATTGATAGAGTATAACTCTTAAATTACCTCAATCGATGATCATTAAGAAAAGGGATATTAATGATACGTGATAGATTGACATGTGGTCTGCATCACATTCTTTGAGAATATAGTATGTCTCACTACTATGAATAATTGTTATTCGTGATGGACACATGGATACTTTGGAGAGTATTGGTATACCCTACCGATAAACCATTTGTTTATGTGTCTATGGGAGTATCGGTGTGTGGAATGGTGTAATAGTCCTTTGACTTGAGGTCAATACGTAATTCATGTATGGAGTGATTTACTTAGTCCTAGTCAAAAGCTTACGCCCTTATGGGTAGATACGGGCTTGTGTTGGGTAGGTCATGATATACATGGAATTGGTAGTTGAGCCAAGATAGGATTCATTCCTCGAATATAGTTTCGAGAGAACACTCGTTTTCTCTATACTGGGTTGATAAAGTCATTGGCCAATGCACGTGATTATATTTGAAATAGTGTTCAAATATAATTGATAAAATCAACCAGTGAGATGAGATAAAATGATTAAGCTGTTTGGATAGACACACGTTCAAATCCTAAGCTTAATCGAGTGGTTCGTGAATGAAGGGACCGTATCACTACTGAATTCTACACCAAAGGTTTGTTTGCTTTGTCTATGTAAACGTACTTAATATTTTGAGTTCGTCCTTCCACGTAGTCTAGGAGTTTCGTGAGGATCATAAATCGGATTTATGTCAATATATGAAGGCCTATAGGGTCACACAATATGCAATCCATTTTCCGCCTAAGAGTGAATCGAGAGTGTTAAATATTCAATTAGATTGGAATATTTAATTTTAATAATTAGATTATTTTCTATTCAATAGAAAATATATAATTAAGTTTTAATTGGACTTAGACTTAATTATATCATTAATTGGATTAGGTCCAATTGCCTATTGGGCTATAGGTTATCCTAAAGCCCATATAATTAGGTTTAGCCTAATTATAAATAGGCGGTTATCTCATATCAGATGTAGGAGATCAGATAATTGAGATACGCTGTAAAAACACAAAACCTCTCTTTGCTTTCTGACTGAGGATTCCTAGCGTCTTCACCGGAAAGGATTCACTGCGTTGGATCTGCATCGGGATCTGGATTGCGTGGATACCATAGTTGAAGGTAAAGCTTAAACTGTAAGTTCTCGCAGATCTATGATTAAATCGAATAGCTATAGCCGGATCATCATTGTTGGTAAGAAAATTTTAAAATTCCGCTGCGTGTGTGATTGATTCGCATGTCTAAAATCCAAAAAAATGTGTATCAACTTTAGAGATCTCAACAAGGCTTTCCCGTAGGACCACTGTCATGTGTTGAGGATAGACCAGCTCGTGGATTTGACAGCGAGGTGCGAACTACTGTGTATGATGGATACCTCCTAGAGATACCACCAGAACCCCCTGGCGGTTGAAGACCAAAAGAGGGTCAGCTTCAACATCCAAAGACACATACTACTACATGGTGATGCCCTTTGGAGTTAAGAATGCAGGGGCAGTATACCAAAGGTTGGTAGACAAGATGTTCAAGGACTAGATTGGGAGGAACATAGAGGTCTACGTAGACGACATGCTCATAAGTAATAAGAAGGCAGAGAATCACGTTAGTGCCCTAAGGGAAACTTTTGAACGCTGCACAGCTACAGTATGAAGCTTAATCCAACAAAGTGTAACTTTGGAGTCAGGTCGGGAAATTTCTTAGGATACTTGGTTACAGAGAATGACATCGATGTCAACTCATGGAAGGTAAAACCAGTGCTCGAGATGCAGGCCTCCAAGAGCCTAAAGGAGGAAGTCCAGGTCCTCACAGGTCCTTCGGATGAGCTGAGCAGGTTCATTGCCCAGTTCGTGGAGAAGAGCTTTTTACTTTTTCGAGAAAAAACGGATCTCATTTAGAGTGGCCACTTTAATCATAGCAGGCTTTCGACCGGCTTAAGGAGGTTTTCACCAAGATGCCCTTACTGACGAAGCCGGAGCTTATGCATGACCTTGTCCTAGAAAAAACACATATGACCCTACATAGGTCATAAGATCAAAAAGTTATAATTGTTTTATTTTTCGACGAGCTCGGCGAATGCAGATGAACTTGCGGAACACGACAACATCTGCGACAGCGACCTAAGATGAGTTGAACGCCAATGGACTAGTAGTCTGACGCGCCCAACTGCTTTCTTGTGCTCATTGCTGGACACGCACCTCCTATGGGGATATGCGTTGGCACGAGCAGGCTGGCAGAAGGATACGCGAGATAAGTAAAGACTACAGCCTGGTGGGGCGAGATGGCGTCATGCAATGGGCTAGGAGACAACGAGTACAAGCGTTAATTCAGGTGTGTCCATCAACATCGAAGCACAAGCTTAGCAACAAATGATATTATGCGACGGTCTCCCAAAAACCAAGGTCACAGGTTGGCCAAGGAGTGAAAACGTCGGGCGACCGGCTCGAAGGCTGCACGTGGGACTTCGTCTGTTTAATAAATATATATATTTTTTTTATTTTGAAGATGAGTTGTTCAAGCGAGAAATTTGGGCAGGACAATGCAACTGGCATTCTTCCGACCAAGATATTACACGTCGAACTTTTTGTTTCTCATGCAACTCAAATGTACTGGATTTTTGCATTTCCTATTTCCTTTTCCAAGGTGGTTCATTACTGACATAATAGTTGGATTCTTCTATCTATGTTTATATTTATTGATATTAATTATTTAATATGCATAATATTTATCTTTGGGATGTGCATATTAATTGTTAAATGTGTATAGATATTAATAAAAAAAAAACTAAATTTAAAATACTACATGAAAGAAATTTTGTAAGTAGGTTTAAAATTCTAAATCCTACGGCCTCCATTACTGGTTTGTTGGTGACACAATTAATATTCTCGTTGGCTCTGAGTGCCTTCCTCCACATTAAATGTATTAATTTTGGATCATATGAACTTATTTCGGGGATGGTTAAAGAATATTGTACTAGGATCATGCGCACCCCTCCAACTTAGCCATAATCCTATATAATGCTCTTCATATCATGTAATGTGTCACACGTAGAATACGATTAAAACAACTTCTCCAATGGAGTCATTACGAACTTTTGTATGGACAATGAACATACGAATAGTTTCTTTCATCAAGAAGTTGTGTTGAATTATTGAAATTGATGGGTGAAAACCTTTGTCTTACAAATGTTGTATTCATAAATTTTTTTACACTAATGTGGCATGCTATATTCTCTGTATTTTGAGATGTCGCTGAATTTAGTAAATATTATTTTTAAGAAAATCGATGTTTGACCTGTCTCTGAACAATTATTCTATGGTGTTTTGAATTATTTTGTTGCAGGGTGAAAGAACTTGCTTTGGTTCTTCATGANNNNATATATATATATATATATATATATATATCTGTGTGTGTGTGTGTGTGTGTGTTTGTGTGTATTCCTTTGTATTTGGGTGATTATTAGGCTGCATGGGATTATCATTTCTTATTTGTTCTGACTTCTCTTGCACAAGAACTTGGATACGTGTTTCTCTATGTAAAATCCCTTTTTATTTGGAGCTTACCTTGTATATAACTTGTTTTTATGACTACGGGAAATAGAGTTTTCAAATTGAATGCCAAAGGGGGAGATTGCTAAAATTTTTAATTGGCATAATTCGAATAACTACAAAGTTTATTTGACTACATTTCTTGTAGGTCACTTGGAAAGGAATAAAGACAAAATAAATAGAAGATTGAGTTATTTATAAAGTTTTTGTGCATTTTAATTTCTAAACATTGAGTTAGATTTAATCTAGATTTGTTTCTTAATATAGGGAAATAACATGCATGGAAATGATCTGGACGCGGCTAAAGGTTCTAGATGCAACATTGACACATATGATGCATGGAAGGAGAATATTATATATATGGGCCGGCTGGAATGAGATTCATCGAGTCTCACAATTAAGGAAAGTCGTGTTCCTACTTGGCTTCATGACTTTCACATTAAAGACGATTTTCGATACCTTGAAGATTCAGTAATAGGAAAAACTTACCAACTATTAAGATTCTAAAGAGTTACAAGCAAAGAAGGAAGTATATATATTCAGAAGGCTTGATCATTGTATTATAATAATTTAAAGAGAAAGCTCGACCTGTTCTGAGAATTTTGAGAGTTTTGAGTACTCATATTTTATTATAGTTTACAAATTTTAGTCGAGCTTTCAATTTGTGTTTTTACGGACTAAAAGGTAGATACTTTAATCTTTTATATATTGCTCATGACGCTTGGAAGGATTATTCGTGTGCCCATAGAGGGATCCACTATATGCTTTTAAATCCATGTGTTGGCCATAAAAGTAACAAGAAAAGGTGTAGGAACAACAGAATTAAAAGGAAGTTCTAGTCTCATAAATTTGTACTACACTATGTACGCGCGACCATGTAATAGTGAAAGAAATCTCTTAGGGAAGTGGATCCTTCTCGATAAAATTTTTGTTTACTCAATTCCACATTTTATGGATAAAATTTATGTTTAATCAACACTGGTTGTCTAAGCTCTGCACCATTAGCCACAGTCCAATATCTGAGTAAAGAATGCAACTCTGATGCTATTTGCTACGGTGGATGTGGAAAACACGCAACTATGGATGTTTAAGAGTACTTGGAGAACAGAGATGCATGCGGTTACATTGGCTCAGAAAGAATGGTCAGAGTTTTCCCTCATTTGTAGTTAGTCTGGTTTTAGTCCCCTGTATAACTTTGTTTGTTGATTTCTGCATGTTGTTGTTTTTCTCTTGGTTATCTTTTTGTATTTGGAGTAGGTTTTGTTAATTTGCTAAGTCCTGTTGGGGGTTCAATGGCAAACTAATTTTGCTAGAAGGGTTAGTGATAGTTCTGCTTGGATTTAGATCTACATCTCGGTGTCAAAGGATCGTCATTGCCGTGAGTAGTGATAGTTTGCTTTAGTCAGGAGAGTTGCCTCCTTCTGTTTTGTATGGCTTCAGTGCCTAAAACTCTGTTTTGTTTGTTATATATTCTTCCGTTTCGAAAAAAAAATCAACATTTCAATTAATGTTGCTATATAAAAGTCACACTCATGCATTCCCATTTCCCCACACACTTCAAGTCACTACAACAAAAGGGATATATCGGGACACATTTGTTTGAGACGTTTTTTATTATGTATCCTAATATCTATTTTGGGACACTTATTAAATTGAGAGCAAAATAAAAATATATAAAATAAACATAACTAAGAGATTGACCGGAAAAAAAACGCGGGCTAAGCGGGAAAGCAAAATAATACTAGAGCCTTAGAAAAGAAAAAGAATGTTTTCGAGGAAGAGAGGGACAAATTATAATTTCACCCTAATTTTCATCAACCAAAGTCTCCATCGTCTTAGAAATCTGTCGAGGAGCCATCAAACTCAAGTCGAAACAATTCTCTACCGCGTCCAATTTCTTGATTGCAAACAACCCAATTTCTGGGTCGCGAAGGTCGAGAGGTCCGGCGACGGTAAACTACAATTTCTGAATTCTACGAGTAACCACCGGGCGACGGAGACGACCATTCCGACGGTGCTGGACATTTCATTATTGAATTTTTTTAGGTATGTTGGGCTTTCACTCTCAACTACGGAATTATGTGAAATATGTTTAATCATGTGTTTAATCGGTCCTCTTATTCTCCTTTAGAATTTCAAGTGTGTAGCGGGGTTTTCCTCACGGAAACTTGTTGCCGGTGTTCAGGTAAATTTTTTCCCCATATTTTTTTTTCGAAAATCGAGTATCTTGTTTAGTTTCTGTTTCAGTTTCTGAAGATTTTAAATAGTTGATAACTACCTTGTACATGAATACTCCAACAAACCTTACATCGGGCTGAGATTTGATTTCTGTAAGTCATATTGATGATGTTGTTATTACTTTTCACTTATATATCAATCTATTGCATCCCGGATTATATATGCACGATTCCTAATGATACTATTTTCTGGTGGTCTTAATCTGAATTGAGGACTAGATGTTCTTGATGTCAGATCAAGAAATTATGATTGGATAAAACATCCATTGGGAATCTAGTTTTCCTTGGTTTGTGGTCCTAAGAAGACATAAATTAAATCAAACCCTCAATGTGTTAATATGGATCCTTGCATCTAATAGGTTGATTGTATCTGTGTAGTTATAGTTTAAGAAGGAAAAAAAAAATCTTCAGTCATTCAGTAATATTTGGTTCAAATTATTAACTTCTTAGTTTTTGTTGGATTCCTAATTTCTTGTAGTTTTACTTGCTTTCTGGACATTCAATTAAGAGAGGGGATTATTTATGTTACTCCATTTGCAAACTTTCATTTATAGTGATGTGTGGTGAGTGAACCATGAAAGCTACAATTTGGGACGATTGTCTTGTTTGTGAATTTCTTGTGATTTAGAGGAATATGTATATGTTGAAATCGACTAACTTAGGCTTTTGTAGACACATTCATAGCTGATTTTGTGAATTTCTTGCAATTTAGATGTCTTTAATATGTTGAAATCGAGTAATTTAGTTTAACGTGTGTTTCTTAGGATTTATTAAATGATAATTTTTTCGTAATAAGAAATATAGATTAAGAAAAATGGTTAATCATACTTATAATGATTTGAAAAGTTAATAAAATTTAAAAGTTGTGTTCGATTTTCTTAAATAAAGAATTGACACATAAATAACTACTAAAATAACCTAAGCGCTTGATTAGATTTAAGAAGACAGAAAGGTTGTATGTAGAGATATGGTTTAAGTTGTCATTACAATGCTAATAGTTAAAAATGTAACTGATGAAAAACCTTAGCATAATATTTTGATTTCAAATTTTTATTTATACATTTCATTCCTCAAAATATGATTTAGAATAATTATTTATCCTAAAACTATTATAAAGTTCTTCAAAGCTTCATCAAATTCATCAGAAAAACTTTACAAACTTGCAGGGGGTTAACCTTCTCAACTATTTTAAGAGCATTCATGCTAAATTAGTCTTCCAAATTCCACTATTGCTATGCTAAATCACGCCATATTTTGTACCAATTTTACTCGGATAATTATAGTTTCCATAAATAGTTGGAACATATCTGATATGATAAAACAACCCAAACACCACAAAGCTAAGACCATGAAATGAAACAAGCATCATGTTCATATTTTGAGTATTAACTTTATTGCATGTAGTTTTTTTTTTCTTTTTTTTTTTCTTTTTTTGTCACTTAATTGTACAAAAGAATCATGATATTTGGTGTTGGTAACGATGGAAAGGGAACTAAGTACAATGGTAGTGTTGATTATGATGCATCAATGTCAACATAATTTATAAGAATGTGCAAGTGAAATGATTTCTCAAATAGTTTATATAAAA